ACAATCGGGTTATATATATGCAAAATCACCCATACAAAATTCTCCAATTCTCACGGCAAAAGGGAAGAGCACGGCTTTGGCAAAAACAGGGGCTAAAACACGGGATTTTCCTCCAAAATCACAGCAACCAACTCAAGCAATTTATGCATGAATTAAGCTTAATGCTCTAATTACTACCGAAATTCATCCCCCTAATTCAACAAAATTCGAACAGCATATGGCAGCAAATAAATGGACAAAATACAGCAACTAATTGATGAAATTTCAGGCTTGGAGTAGCTGTCAACATACCAGAATTTCCAGCAGGCAAACCAGAGTTGCAGATTGGGGGAAGGCCGGCGGAAGTGCAGGGGAAAATCTACTGAAATTGGGAGGAACTAAGAGAAATTAGAGTTAACCCAAACCAAATCAAGGAAGAACACGGAATTTAATGGCTGTTTCTTATCAAAAATCGGAGCAAATCACCCCTACACCAAGAGCAGCAGACGGACGGGAGAACAGAGCAGAGCAGATCTGGAATTCTGCAGAGTGGGGGGGGAAGATTTCCAAGCTTAAATCTTGTTCTTGAACAAGAAAAGAAAGGCAAAAACCAAGCTTCTTGCCGATTTCTCAAAGGGAGGTGCGTCAGTGGCTGGGCTTCTTGTTGTTCGGTGCAGGGGAGAAAAAGAAGAGCAGACGCGCGGGTGAGAAAGAAGAAAGAAGGAAAAAAAATAGCCGATCCTTATCCAAAATCTTTCCTCTTTTAAGTCCCTCAAGTTTCAAAATTTTGGCTATTAAGTTCCAGAATAATATTTCCTCACAATCAAGTCCTTAACTAAGTGCTAAAATATCACAAAATTTTGGGATATTACATTTTCCCATGTCTCAGGTCACGCTACCTAAAATGGTGGACGAGGAAAAATCTATGTGAGATAACTCAGTAAGTAAAATACGAATAACTCTTAATTAAAATTTATGGCATGCCAATAAGTGTAATCAAGTATCAAGAAAAATGAGTACAAGTACGGGAATGAAATAGATGTCTCCTCTATAGGTTATGGCTAGTGTTTATAAACCTCCCACTTGCGGGCACAGTAGTAACCAGTATATTATCCCATTGAATGGAATACAGGATGAACCGGTTCATAGGAATACATGTCGACATGTGCTAGCGTTTATAAACCTCTCACTAGTGAGCACAGTAAAACATGACCATATTGGAGACAAAACCAGGTAGGAAGTTAACAGGAAAACCATAATTTACAAATAATTTCTAGATCATCAGGACAATCAAATAAAATCCCATTAGGCATGCTCAGCTCAATAAACATATTAACAATTTTATCTTAAATCAATCATGCTCATATGCTTAAAAAAATCAGCTTAAATCCTGCCACCATCTCAAAAATAGTTTAAAATATGCTTTTAAAGCTTTTACCTTAAAATCCAAGGGCATTACCACAAATTTACTTATCTCGTCTTATAGGCATACAACAAGCAAAGAAATTCAAGAAGTCAAGATGCTTGAAGTGACTTAGAAGCTATACCACATCAAATAAATATTTAGAATATACTTAAAACAACTCCAAAAAGATACACGAACAGCAAACAGATTTTCTAGACAAAATAAGGTGGAAAATGGTGAGAAATTGAGCTCTTAGCTATCCTAGACGCAGCGGAAGTATTGGATAGCAAAGTGCGGGGGTTTTTGCCATTTAAAGCAATCCCCAAATGCTTGGAATAAGCCCTGAACAGCAGGGATTTCTGGGCAAAAAGACAGCAACAAAACAGGGTAGAACACAAGCTAGAATTGGGCAAAAATGGACAACATCTAAGCAGCAAAAAGGGCAGCCAAAGTAAAGCAATAACAAAGGGTTTTAGAGCATGAGAACAACAGCTAAAAATCTAGAAAAATCACAATACAATATGGTAGTAGCTACAGTGGGAATAAAGCAGAAAACAGAGCAAATTTCTGTCAAGTTCTGGTCGGATTTCGTGCTGGAACTTCCAACAGAATTCACACCTAGAAATTGACTGATCTGGGTTGAGTGGTTGACAGATAAATTGTAGCCCTATGTCTTAGCGTTCTATAGCCTCAAGAATTACCTTAATCTGACATCTATAGAGAGAGTTATGGCCAAAATACTAACAGAAGGTCGGGTTGCCAGTGCAGTCCGCCTGCAGGGACCAAAGTTACAGCAGCGTTTTCACCATGTAAACTTCTTAACTCGGTTAAACATCCAACATAAAAGTTGTAGGGCTATCTCTTAGCTTTCTACAGAATTAAAAATGGGCTTAATCCAATAACTATAGAATGAGTTATGGCCAAAACACTACAGCAAGGTCATGCTGTCAGGATTTTCAGCAAAAATAGAGATTAGTTACTGTTGAATGCTAGATTTTGGGCAAAATCAAGGGAAAACTAAAGAAAATTCCCAAAATTGAAAACCCTAAATGATTAGAGCTAACACACTTCAAATCTAGGATGAAAAGACGAGCAATAAGGTTGATTTCTTACTAGAAAGTTGCAGAAGGAGCACCCACTGAGCATTCAAGGAACGGACAGCAGCAGATCTTGATATTTTCTAGAAAATATTAGTTGTAAGTGGAAATTCTAGGTTTAATTTCATTCTCAAGAGAGATATGACAAGGAGAAATCAAGCCCTTACCTTGATTAGGAGAATAAGAAGTATCATAGATTCTAATTTGGAGTTGGAATAGGGAGAAGAAGAAACCCCAAAAGAGGAGAAAACCCGAAAGGGAATTGGGGTTTTTTTTTTTTTCTTCCCCTTTAAATCTGTTCGTCCAGCTTCACCTATTCTTTTCCCTTTTTTTTGCCAACATCCCTAAGATTGAAGAATGACGCAACTTGGTCCCTCAATAAAATCCCCTTTTTAGATTAGTCCTCTCATACATAAATTAATTAATTATTCAACATAAGTACTCAAAATTTTGGGGTATTACAAATATAATGTTAATCTAATTTTTATCTTAAATATATAAATTAAAAGTGTAATAAATATA